TGTTTGGACCGTTGGCAACGGCTATTTTTGCAATTTAAGCCGTTGCCCAACGGCTAGTTTTTAAAAAAAAAATAATAATAATTCTGGCGGGACGCGGGACGGGACAAACGGGACGAAATGGCCGCCCGTCCCATCCCGTGTCCCGTTTAACATTGGCCCATCCTGTTTAACTTGAAGCGGGACGGGACGGACCGGCCCGTCCCGTTGGACACCCATAAGCAGTGCTGGAGAATTTGTTCAGTTCTGGGATTTGTAATCTTCCTATGCTATAGGATATGTACTACCTTGGACCTTCGCTGCACCATAACAGTAAGTTAATTGACCAAACTATCCATAAGTTTAAGGTATCACTCACTTTTTCTCTTTTCTGAGAGAAATGCTAATCTAAAATACAAGGGAATATCTGGAAGATGAAACCATTCAACAGGTAGAATAACATAACCAAGAAAATAGCACGTACTTTACAAGAGTTTGAGATCATATCTACTGGAAAACAATAGAATCAAAATTATTTACAGGTGGAGGTTTACTACCTTATTTCTATAACTGATGACATTTCACTACAGAAAAGATCTCTAATATGTGACGCGAACATGAGAGGAAGCTAAACTAGTTGCAAAGCAGAGATATGATCTGATTCAGATTGGCAATCAGTATTTCCAGCCTCATAATCTTGGCCAGTAGCAAAATGGTGGTTTTAATAACCAAAATCAATGATTATTTGTTTTCATTCTCCTCCGCTCTAAACTTGTTCGTTCCCCTTCAGGATGTTGTACTTGCACAGTGGACATGTCGCGTTCATCTTAAGCCATTTAACTATGCAGGTGGAGTGGAAATGATGATTACAGGGGAGAGCATGGAGTTCCGTCTCATCCTCGTACAAGCTAAGACATATACAACATTCCTAGCAAACAAGAAAAAATTTAGGTGTTGGTTACTATTTTATCACAAATAATAAACAGAAATTCTACTATGTATATTCATATTCAGGGATGCAATTTTACAACGAGGATCCAAACTGAAACAAGAAATCCATACTAAAATCTCGAAGTAAAGTTGTAGAATATGCATACGGCGAAACAGCTCCATTTCCAATATAGACAGAGCAGTGGGAACAGAATAAAGGAGAAAGAAAATGATAATTGATTGAGCTTTCCGTGCCACTACCAGGAGCTGCTTTAAGCATTTCTAAGATACATAATTAACTTACTGCATCCTCAGGTAAAAGAATACGCTCATTGGCCAAGTATCCGCTGCTCGTCTCAATTGGTACCATCCGACCAGCTCCTACACTTAGTTTCTCCTCATCCTTGTAGATATGGAATCTATACTTGGGGAGAACTTTGAGGTCTGCTTCTGATGCACCTTCCTGTGTATTATAGGTGAAAGATCGTTACCAGAAACATATAAAGTAAGCTTGTTTTATGGTTTGCTGTCTTCTTACCTGGCCCACTGCATATAGTACTGCAATTATGCAAGGCAAGCAGCAACAAAGAGCAACTCCTATCAGACATGCCAAAGCAACACAAAAGACGGCAAAGAATACATCGAATGCCAAAAATACAACTGTCAACCTGCAGCATTTTGGATCAGTGATCAAACAGGACTCTTACTGAAGGTGGTGACCACAAAAATTTAAAAAAAAAAGAAAAGAAAACAACATCAACATGTGACGACCCAAAGGGGTCATCACTTGTTTCCTTAGTCATTCTGTGCTTCCGAGGCCTTGAAAACCTCATTTAGGGTTGCCTCGATTTGCGTGCGCAGTCCGGGCACGTAGCCGGAAAGCTTAAATATGAATTCTGTGAGAAAAATGCTAAATTTTGATATTAAATTGAATAGATTTGACTTCGGTCAACATTTTGGGTAAACGGACCCGGACCCGTGATTTGACGGTCCCGGAGAGTCCGTAGGAAAATATGGGACTTGGGCGTATGCCCGGAATCGAATTCCGAGGTCCCAATCCCGAGAAATGAATTTTTGTGTGAAATTGTTTTCTGGAAATAATTAAGGAAATTGGAAATGAAATTTGATTAGAAGACTATGGTATCGGGCCCGTATTTTGGTTCCGGCGCCCGGTGCAAGTCTTATATATGATTTAAGAACTTTCTGTAAAGTTTGGTTGAAAACGGACGTCGTTTGACGTGTTTCGGACTTAAAATGGAAATTTGATGTTTAATGAAAAATTTGGAAGAAATCATGAGTTTTGGGGTATGATTCGATGTATATGATGTTGTTTTGGCGATTTGATCGCACGGATAAGTCCGTAGGATGTTTTTGAGGTTGTGTGCATATTTGGTTTGGAGCCCCGAGGGCTCGGGTGAGTTTTGGATAGGTGTCGGGTTGCATTTTTTTGATTTTGGAAAATCTGAACAGGCCTGCAGGCTTCGCATTCCTGGTTCGCAAATGCGAACTCGCAGATGCGAAGGCTGGATCGCAGATGGACTTTCGCAAATGCGATAAATCTGTCGCAAATGCAAAGTCCTTCGGTGGGTCTGAGTTCGCAAATGCGAACTAAAATTCGCATTTTCCAAAGTTGGTCGGGGTTCGCAATTGCGAACCCCAGTTCGCAAATCCCATATCAGAGGCCCAGCAAATTTTATACTTAGTCGAATTTTCACCATTTTTCATCATTCTTTCAAAACCCAAACTCCTTAGGCGATTTTTCAAGAACAAGTTTCATTCCAAATCATTTGTAAGTCGATTTTTACTCAATTCTTTCAATCATTAACATCATTTAACATGTTTTCAACTTAAAATCAATGATTTTCAAGGGAAATTGGGGTTTGGGTAGAACCTTAGGTTTTTACTAAAAGTTGGGATTTGGACCTCGATTTGAGGTCCGATTTCAAAACAATCATATATTTGGGTTCGTGGGGAATGGGTAACCGGGTTTGGTTCGAACCTCGGGTTTGACCACGTGGGCCCGGGGGGCGATTTTGGAATTTTTGGAAAAAACTTTGGGAAATTCATTTTTATGCATTCAAATTGATTCATTTAGTGTTTATTAAAGTAATTGAGTAATTTGTGGCTAGATTCGAGCGGATTGGAAGTGGAGTCACGGGGTAAAGCCATAGTTGAGGCTTGACTTGAGTTCAAGGCATCGAGGTAAGTGTTCGGTTTAACCTTAGCTTGAGGGATTAGGAGTTGAGTCATATTTGTTATGTGTTTCTTGTGGAGTACGACGTATAGGCATGGTGACGAGTATCTATACGTTGGCGTCAAGCATGACCGTGAGTCTTATATTGTGAATTTCATGACTTCGTCGTATTATTCATGCCTTGGTGAGTATTTCTATTTGTTGTGTAAAGTTGTGGAAAGAATCGTGACTTATGATTATTGAGGAGCGTTGGCTCCAGTCGTAGAACGCATTGCGAAAGTATAAGTGATAATTGAACCTCTAGAGCAATGGCTCGAGTTGTGAAATGAATTGTGAATTGAAGTAAAAGTGAGAAAAGAAAAGATCATTACGCTGTCCCTTGGCGGACTATTGTCGAGTTGGGGTTCCCTTGTATTGTGTTCTTAATTGATATTACGGATGCTTAGTTTAATGGTTCCTTGTGTTGAGTAAGGACTAACGTTATAGCTGAGGTAGTTAGGTGTTGTAATAGGTTTGGTTATAGCTGAGGTGGTTAGGTGTAGTAACAAGTTTGATTATAGTTATGGTAGTTAGATGTTGTAACAGGATTGATCATAGTTGTGGTAGTTAGATGTTGTAAAAGGATTGATTATAGTTGTGGCAGTTAGATGTTGTAACAGGATCGGTTATAGCTGCGGTAGTTAGATGTTGGGACAAGTGTGGTTATAGATGTTTCTCCCTTGCCGGGACGTAATTACTCATGCTATCGAATCCCTTGTCGGGACTCTCGTTATAATTGTAAATATTATATATGGATCGTATTGCACGCCGCAACAATATTATATATGGATCGGGTTGCACGCCGCAACAATATTACATATGGATCGGGTTGCACGCCGCAACAATATTATATATGGATCGGGTTGCACGCCGCAACAATATTATATATGGATCGGGTTGCACGCCGCAATAATATTATATATGGATCGGGTTGCACGCCGCAAAGGTGTTATACACGGATCGGGTCGCACGCCACAACAAGATATTATGAAATGGAGCGGGTGGTACGCCTACCACAAGATATTATGAAATGGGAGCGGGTGGTACGACTACCACGAGTTACGAGAAACGGGATCGGGTTGCACGCCTGCAACAAGATGAGCTGAACATGAAAATTGTCTTTATTTCTTGCTTCCGCGTTAGAGGCTAGACTGTGGATTCCTCTTCTATTATTCCTGATACTCTATTTATATCTGTTACCCCTGAAGCATGTTCCCTCCCCTAGTTTTAATTGTTTATTTCTGTTGCCTCTTCGTTGTATTGTATATGTATATCTGTACAGGTTTATCTGGAGTCTGGTACTAGCCTCGTCACTACCTCGCCGGGGTTAGGCCAAACACTTACCAGCACATGGGGTCGGTTGTGCTGATACTACACTCTGTGCTATTTTGCACAGAACCAGGTTTCGAGGAGCAGCAGCAGCAGTAGTGTGGGATCAGGCTTCATTTCAGCGAGACCCGAGGTAGCCTTGCAGGCATCCGCAGGCCCGGCGTCTCCTCTATCCTTTATTTTTATTTATTATCTCATTATATTCGAGACAAACAGCTTATGTTCTCTTTCAGACGTTTGTATGTAGTATTCTTAGCAGTTCGTGAGTATAGTGACACCAGTCTTGGGTAGAGGATTTTGTTGAACTTTACGCATTTCTATTCAGTTTTATAATAAGTTAAGACTTCCGCTTATTATTGAATTTCGTTGCTTTTTTATTATTGTCGTAAATTGTTAAAATGGATTAGATTATTAATAGACAAGTAATTAAATTTGGCTTGCCTAGCTCTCATTAGTAGGCGCCATCACGACTCCCGAGGGTGGGAAATCCGGGTCGTGACAAGTTGGTGTTAGAGCTCTAGGTTGCATAGGTCTCACAACTCACGGACAAGCTTAGTAAAGTCTGAGGGATCGGTACGGAGACGTCTGTATTTATCTCCCAGAGGCTACAGAGTTAGGAAAAGTTTCACTTCTATTCTTCCCTGTCGTGCGATTTTGTTCTCTCAATGTTAAATTGAAATCTCCACTCTTGTCCTTTCGCGAATGGCGAGGTCATGTACCGCTTCTTCAGCTGAGCAGCAGCACAGACCAGTGATAGATCAGCTTCGTCTTTGGAGGCTTTGTGGAGGTAAAGGTATTGGAGGTGGAGGTAGTGATGCTAGAGGTGGAGGTAAAGGTATTAGAGGTGGAGGTGCACGTACCGTTCTGATTGTGATAGAGATGCTTCGGTGTTGTTTGATCCGGGGTCTACGTATTCGTATGTGTCATCTTATTTTGCCCCGTATTTGGTCATGCCTAGTGATGTATTGGGTATTCCCGTTTATGTGTTACCCCGGTGGGTGACTCTATTGTGGTTGATCGAGTCCATCGTTCTTGTGTTATGGTGATTGGGGGTCTGGAGACTCGTGTTGATTTGTTGCTTTTAGACATGGTCGACTACGATATTATATTGAGGATGGACTGGTTATCACCTTACCACGCTATCTGGGACTGTCATGCCAAGACTGTAACCTTAGCTTTACCGGGTATGCCTCGTTTAGAGTGGAGAGGGACTCCTGGTCATTCTACCCATAGTGTTATCTCTTATGTGAAGGCTCGACGTATGGTCGAGAAGGAGTGTTTGGCCTATTTGGCATATGTTCGTGATTCTAGTGCTGAGGTCCCTTCTATTGATTCTGTGCCCATTGTTCGTGAGTTTCCTGATGTGTTCCCTTCAGACCTGCCGGGTATGCCACCCGACAGGGATATTGATTTCTGCATTGATTTGGCTCCGGGCACTCAGCCCATTTCTATTC